ATGCTTACATCAGTAAAATAGAGAAAGATCAGACCAACGAATTGGGTGTGCAATTTTTAAAAACTAGAAAAAAATTCTAAGTGCCCAATTAAACATCAAATCCAAAATCCTAAAAAAAAAAGGTGAGATTAATAAAATTGAATGTAAGATAACCATTGAATTAATCAATAAAACTGAAAGTTACTTTTATGAAAAAACATTAAAATAGATAAATCATTAGTTAACATGAGAGAGAAAAGAAAACCAAATTAGCAGTTTCATAAATGAAAAATAGTGAATATATCACTAATAAAGATGAAATCAAAGCAATTATTTGGAATTATTTTGCCCAATTATATGCCAACAAATTTAACAATTGAAGTAAAATGGAAGAATATTTACAAAAATATAAACTGTCTAGACGAACAGAAAATAGAATATCTAAATAAACCTATTTCAGAAAAAGAAATAAATGAGCTTCCTAAGAAAAAAGCATCAGGAGCAGATGGATGTACAAGTTAATTGTACCAAACATTTAAAGATCAATTAATGCCAATAATAAATAAATTATTTGGAACAATAGGTAAAGAAGGAGTCCTACTAAACTCCTTTTACAAAACTAATATGATGCTGATATCTAAACCAGAAAGAGCAAAAACAGAGAAAGAAAATTATAGACCAACTTCATTAATGAATTAGGTGCAAAAGTTCTAAATAAAACACTAGTCAGAAGGCTACAACAATACATCACAAGGATGATTTATACCAGGAATGAAGGGATGGTTTAACAAAAGGAAAACTATTAACATAATTGATTATATCGATAACAAAAGTAACAAAAATCATATGCTTACATCAATAGATGCAGAAAAATATTTTGACAAAATACAGCATCTATTCCTATAAAAAAAAACTCTCAAAATCGTAGGTATAAATGGATTTGTCCTTAAAATGATAAGGAGCACCTATCCAATATAATCAGCAAGCATTATTTGTGATGGGGATAAGCTAAAAGCCTTCCCAATAAGATCAGGAGAGAAATATGGATGCTTGTATTATTCAATATTGTATTAAAAATGCTAGCAAAAGAAATAAGAGAAGAAAACAAAATTGAAGGAATCATAACGGGCAATGAGGTAATAAAACTATCTCTTTTTGCAGACAATATGATGATATACTTGGAAAATCCTAGAGATTTAATTAAAAAGTTAGTTGAAACAATTAATAGTTTTAGCAAAGTAGCAGTATATCAAATAAGCCTACATAAATCATCAGCATTTCTATATATCACTAACAAAACCCTGCAAAAAAAGATAGGAGCAGGGTGGATGAGCAGAGACCATTGTCATGGCAGCAGTAATGGAGGGCAAGACTCATCCGTTCTTCTCCTTCCATCCCACCCCCCACCCAGTGTGGAAAAAATCTTCTTGAAACTTATCAAATCTTCAAGGCCATTTGCCCAACACCACTGGAGGTAAGATGGGAGCTGAAAAGGCCCATGAAAAGTAAACATGTGTTCATCTCTATGTTCAAGAAGCCTCAGCAAGAGGTTTGACCTATGTATAGGGAGCACAGAACTTCAATCCTGAAGAAAGACAGAGGTTCAGTGAATTCATTTACTCTGACATAGGCATGAGTGAGAGTGAGGGAACTTTCTTTGGTGGGAGAAAGTAAGCAAGGTATTGAGAGCTTCCTGAGTGACATTTTGTGTAACTTTTTCTGTAATAAACGGATATGGTTCAAATCTGTCTGATAAAAGAGCTGAAAATGTGTTAAATACTATATCACCAGCTTATTGTCTCACAGTGATAGATCACTCAAATGGACTGTAATCTCCTTTAGGGCAGGGGCTATGTTTTATTTTTCCTTGTATTTCCTCCCAACTCCTAGCAGAATGCTTTATTCATCCTTGCTGTTCAGATTATCTGGAGAATTTTATGGGAAACCATTGGACCACTTTCTCAAAGAGAGTGCCTTTTGGCAACATCTTTGTGTTGCTCCTATTTCTCCCCAATGGGACCAGTGAGGTTCTTTATGCTAAGCATGCTAACACCCTTAATTCAATCCTCATATGTCATAGAATCAGTTATCAGTTATCATTATTTCATCCACCCCAAGGAAATGTACTATCTCTTCTTTGACCCTCTTCTTTCTTCTAAAGTCACCAAAACAAAAATCTTTTTGTTGCCTTTACATTTCCTTCACCATCTTCAACTCATTCTGAGCCTTAGCATATATATATATATATATATATATATATATGCATTATATATTATATATATGCTTAGCATATATACGTATGCTTAGCATATATCTATATATCTATCTATATCTATATCTACACACACACACACACATATATATATATACACATATATATGTGTATATATGTATATATATATATATATATATATATATATATATATATACACATATATATATATGTGGAGAGAGATCACAATTATCTGCAAACAAAAAGTCATGTACCCATACTCCCACTCTAGTCTTGGTTTGTAGACTTCTCAAGTTGAAGAATTTACAAGGTAGCTGACCTTGACGCTGTGTTCATCCTCACTGAAGGTGTTTGATGACATGGCTAAAAACATCATGATAAAAAGCATGGGAGCAAGCACACAGCCTTGTTTCACTTCATTGATGACCAGGAAAGCAAGAGAGCATTGTCTATTACCCAGGTTTGACATACAATGCTGATGAACTTCTCTAGACAACCAAATTTTGACACAATTTCCCTTAAGCTCTCACAACTGACAGTATCAAAGGTCTTGGTCGTATCTACAGATGTTGTGTATTGACCTCTGTCCTGCTCCTTGCATTTCTCCTGGAGCTGTTGGGCAGCAAACATCATATCAATTTTTCCACAGCCCTTTCTGAAGCCACACTGGCCCTTAGATAGATGACCATCTTCCAGGTGAAGGACTGGCCTGTTAAAGAGGACTCTGGCAAGAATCTTGCCAGTAATGACTAAGAGAGAGACGCCCCTGTGATTGTCACAGGATAATCTATTTTCTTTACCTTTACAGAGATGGACAATGGAGGCATCCTTGAACTCCTGAGGGATAACTTCCTCTTGCCATATAACCTGGAAAATTCAGTCAGATTTTTATGAGCAATGGAGCCCTCCCCCCCACCTTATAAATCTCAGCTGGAATAGAATCAGCACCAGGTGCTTTGCCACAGGAGAGGAGCCTAATGGTGTTTAAAACCTTTTCTTCAGTTGGAACTTCAGGTAGGGAGGGATTGACTTCAACTTGAGGTAAACAGTCAATGGCTTCAGCATTGATGATGATAATCTGTTGAAAACACTTATGGAAGTGTTCAACTCACTTCTTTAGGATCATGTCCTTATCACTAATAGATGTGGCTCCATCAGCACTGAGTAGTTGAGATGCATCTAGGTCTTTGGCCCATAAATAGCCTTCAGGGAATGATAAAAGTACTTTGGATTGTTATTATCAACATAAAAGTGAATTTCACCTGTGCAGCCTCTGAAGCAGAAATGCAACAAAGTATAGATTGATTCTCTGCTGCTTGCGCTAATTTTGGCCTAACAATCAACATCAAGAAAACACAGATACTCCATCAGCCACCACCATACCATCCACACTCAGAACTATCGGTTATAGCAAATGGAGAAGTTTTAAATGCTATGGATAAGTTCACGTATCTTGGTAGTGTACTTTCCAGGGATGTAGATATTGATAATGAAGTTGGCGCACAAATTGCCAGAGCAAGATCAGTGTTTGCAAGCTCCAAAGGAAAGTATGGAAGAGAAGAGGCATTAGACTGATTACCAAACCAAAGGTCTACAGAACCATTGTGCTGACTTCATTATTAATGAAACCTGGGCAATATACCAGCACTATACCAGGAAACTGAATCGCTTCCATATCCATTGTTTCTGGAAGATTCTGAAAATCATCTGGCAAGATAAAATACCAGACACTGAGGTCCTTTCTTGAACTAAACTGCCAAGCATTCAAACTTTACTACAGAAAGCACAATTCTGATGTGGGCTGTCCACATTGTTTGAATGTCAAACATACACTTGTCAAAAAGACTATTTTATGGAGAACTCACACAGGGCAAATGCTCCCACGGTGGACAAAAGAAGTGATACAAGGACACTCTCAAGGCCTCTCTTAAGAACTTTGGCTTTGATTGTGTGACATGGGAGACACTGGCACAGGACCACACAGCATGGAGTGCCCTCATCAGAGAAGGTGCTGGGCTCTATGAGCAAAGCAGAATTGAAGTACCTCAAAAGAAACACGAAATGTGCAAATTAGGGAACCCACACCAAATGTTCACGTGGACTACTTGTGCCGACTTGTGATAGAGCATTCTGAGCTCGTATCGGTCTGATCAGCCACATTCGGACACACCGTAACTTGACTTTAACATAGTGATGTTATTTTGATCCTCTTTGAGAATGAAGGACAGCAACCAAAGCAACTATATGTGTGTGTGTGTGTGTCTATGTGTGTGTGCGTGTGTACATATATATGTGTGTGTATGCATGTATGTATATATGTATGTATGTATGTATGTATATGTATATGAAACTAAGAAAGATAAGAGTAAACTGAAGTCAATTCATAGTAGAGAAGAGTAGTGTCATAAAAGACCACTGGATAGCAAGAAGAAGGACTGAGGTTGGCATCCCACATCAAACCCTTGCACACTGTGTGATCTTGAAGAAGTCCTACAACTTCACAGTACCTCAGTTTTATCATTTAAAAAAAATTAAGGTGCCAGTAGCAGGGCCTTGCCCTCCTCAGAGGGTGCCTGTCAAGAATAAATGAGCTATCATAAGGGATATAAGCCAAGAAATGCTATACACAAGTGAAACAATCCTGTTATTCCCGTTGATAGAGAAATTCTAGATCAAGTTATGAAACAGGGATGGAAAATACTCATCAGGACAGATCTGACACCACCTGAAAAATTGAGAGTAAGGACTAGGAAGGCAAGAAAAACAACAACTCAGGTGTCACCATGAAACACACGCTTTATTTGAGTCAGTGGGAGGAGAGTTACAAGGGCTCAGAGAATGGAAATCACCACCCAGGTTGCAGCACAGAGGAGAGCTCATGCAGTGGCAGGGGACCAGGAGTCTGATCTCTCAGGGTTGTCCTTCCATTGAAGCTCCAGGAAGCCTGGAGTAGACTAGGTTGGTACGTTCTCTGTAGTCTCTCATCCCAGGCGTGGGATGATGGGGGTGGAAGATGGGAGTGAGACAGAGGTTTCATTTCTGAAATGACTACAATTCTAAGAACAAAAGCCTTCTCCTTGACTTTCCTTTCGGGGAAAAACAAAGGCAGAGAAGCGTGGAGATTCAGAGAAAATGGCTGGAAACTCAGATAGCCGTAGGATTGCTCAAGCTACTTGTTTCATGGTGCTGCCAGCATCAGGCACTGTTACTTCCTCTTGGGTGGGCACTGCTGCTGGCAGGGTGGAGCACGTGGGGGGAATTTCTGCTGGCACTGCTGTGGTGGACTTGGCTCTGGGCACTTGGGAAGACATGGTTCTGGGCACTTTGGAAGACATGGCTCTGGGCATTTGGGAGGGCATGGCTCAGGGCATTTGGGCTGGCAAGGCTGTGGGCACTTGGGAGGGCAAGGCTGTGGGCACTTGGGCTGGCAAGGCTGTGGGCACTTGGGAGGAGGCTGGCAAGGCTGTTTGCACTGCTCCTGATACTGGTAAGACATCTCTCCTGGATCTCAGTGAATCTGAAAGAAACAGAAGACAGTGTTCACAGTCAGGTACTTTTAAGGGCAGGATGGCCTGAACTAAGTATGATCTTGGAAATCTTGGGCTAAATTTTAGGGTTTCAAATGCCACTTGACTGAGAGTTAGAAGACCTAAATTCAAATCCTGAGTTTGACAATCACTAGCTGAATGATTTGTGCAAGTCACTTAACTTTTCTTAGACTTAGTTTTTCCAACTCCAAAGTAGGCATAAGAATATCACCCTATTTATCTGCTTACTTCATGATGCTGTTATATGAGGTAAGTTCCATATAAACTGTAAAATGCTATAAAGTGAGCTGATGTCATAATTTCTCCCCTCACACCACTCCCCCAACATGGCATTACAAAAAAGTTACCCTGGAGTCTCAATGCCTAAAATGAGGAGTACAACCTCTAGCAGGTCCTTCCTAGTTGGAAGAGATTTTAATTCAGGACAAGCAATAGATGATTTGTGTGTGACCTACCAAGTTAAGCTCAGTTTTTTTGGTAGGTGATAAATTTTGGAAGCCACGGCAACTCATGGAGACCATAGATTAAGGCATGGACAGGTGGGAGAGAATTCTCAGACCAATGAAATTGTGGATATTTGGGCGATTTATCATCATCATCATCATCATCATCATCATCATCATCATCATTATCCCAATTCCAATGGAATTCCCCTGCCTTCCACTTTCAGTGCTCATCTACTCCTTGCTCCCTCTAGCTAATTTCTCTCTGTCCTCAGTTCATTTTCCAAATATTTTAAGAACTCCCAACTCATGATGGTAACAAATACCACAAGTGTCCCATGGGAACAGTGAACTATTTCTTCTGCTTCTCTGGATCTGTCTTCCCTTCTATAAAATGAGAAGGTTGGACATGTAGGACAGAAGAAAAAATATTGGTCTGAAGGTAGAACATATGTGTCTGAGTCAAACAATCAAGAGGCATTGAGGAAGCTCTCACTGTGTACCAGAAACTTTACTAAGTACTGGAAATACAAAGAAGACAGAAATACGTCCACGCCTTCAAAGAGTTCACACTATAACAGGGGAGAAAACATGTACATAAATTGGTTTATATAGGATACACACACAGTCTAAAAAACATAACCATAGAGGGGAAGGTTTCTCTGAACCTCAGTGTCCTCATCTGAAAAATATAGGGGTTGGAGGTGAACCAGATGATATGGAAGGTCCCTAACACTTCTAAGAGAATTTTAAATAAATGTTTGCTGAATGAATGTTCAACGGCTCTATGATTTTATAAGTGGTTTGTGAGCATCTATAAAATCTTGACGGAAAAGGACCAAAATCACTGAAATTCTGGCTAATTCATGATGAATCCACAATACCAACATCGCCACAACCATGGGTCCTTATACACCACAAGCTGTACGGAGACAGTACCAGCGGCTCTCATGCTGCCCCAGAAGCTTACCCTCAGATGGGTGACTGTGACAGTCAAAAGGGAGATTCTGCTCTAACCATTGGACTCCTGTAAAGGAGGATGGGGCCCCAACAAGCATCCTTTAGTTCAAGGCCCTTCCTAGATTTCTCCTGGGCTTCTTTACTTCTTGTACAAAGTATATTTCAACACTACCCACAGGCAAGCCAACAAAAACAGTCTATTAAAGACCCTTCAACAACCTTTCCTGAATACCCCAAACCAGATAACCAATTGCATGAGCTTCATTAAACAAAGGTTGAAGATTCAGAGTGAAAAAGAATCTTTGACATTGTCTAATCCTCCTCCTTCTTTTTACAAGTAAGGGAACTGAGGCCCAGTAAATTGCCACAGGTCACACAGGTGGGTAGTAAGTGACAGAGTCAGGATTCGAACTCAGGTCTTCTGAATCTAAATTTAGCCGTACCCTACCATGCCGCCTCCATAACATACAGCATAAAATTGTAGTTTTAGAAATGATCTTGGAGGTCAAAAAGAATCTTTGTGCCAGAGCTGGGAGAGTTTTGAGCTTATCAAAAGGCTTTTGTTGTCATTGTTCAGTCATTGCAGTTATATCTGACATTTTGTGACCCCATTGGGGGTTTTCTTGGCAAAGATCCTGGAGTGGTTTCCTACTTCCTCCTCCAGCTCATTTTACAGATGAGGAAACTGAGGCAAACAGGGGTAAGTGACTTGCCCAAGTTCATACAGCTAGTAAGTATCTGAGGGCAGATTTGAACTCAGGAAGATGATTCTTCCTGACTCCAGGCCCAGTTCTCTACCCACCACACTACCTAGCTGCCCTCTTCACCTTTAATCATTTAAAAGATGATTAAGGCCCAGAACAAAAGTGACTTGACCAAGGCCACATTGTTGATTAGTAACAGATGTAAGATAAAAATTCAGGTCTCTTCCTTTCTGAAAAGGGCTCTTTAATCAATTTTGCTAATTTCAGCGTCAATAAGGACAAATCAAAAGTGTTCCACAAGAACAGCTTAGGTATTTAATATGAAATTATCTAGTTGTGGTATTTCATAGAAACATACAATGATCAGTCAACTGATAAACATTTAAGTGCCTACTATGTGCCAGAAGCTACGCTAAGCACTGGGGATACAGAAAGAGGGGAAAGGCATTCCCTGACTTTCCAGGACACCAAGGCACCTTCAAGATCACTGATAGGCCACCAAAGACCTTACAGAGATGAAGAAACTCATGCCAAAAGAGGGTAAGTGACTTCCTTAAGGTTCCAAAGCTAGTTAGAGACAGAGCAGGGACTAGAACTCGGACCCCAGGACTCCTGATTCCCCAGTCAAGGCTCTCTCCACTCCGCCAGACTGCTTCCTCTGCCCATCAGCCTCCAAGAGGAATCCCAGTCCCAAGATGAGCCCTGAAGAATCTCAGACTCACCCAAATGCTCCAACGCAGATGAAGACCGGGTGGCTGGCGGATGGCTGCAGTGTCAGCAAGAGCCCCTTTATAGAGCTGGGAAATCCTGCCCAGAGGAAGTGGGGGCAGTCCCATCTCTGCAATCCCAATTATCTCCCGAACAAAACGTAAACTACCTGCAATTCTGAAAATGACTTGCCACCCTCACCCTCATTACCAGAACCTCCCTCTTTTGCAAGCCTCCCTGGGGCAGCTGCCTGCCCGTGAATGACTCATCCAAGGAGTCCCTGCCTCAATTGGAAGACACAGAATGGACTGAATCTATCCCATCTTTGCCACTGCTGGAAGCATCGGGGTATCTAAGCTTTGCAGTGGGTGAGAGAATCATGGAATCTAAGAGTTGGAAGAGACTTTGGTGGCCATCTAGTTCAATCAATACATTAAAGGAAGCCCCACTCTAACATTCTTATCAAGTGGCATCCGAACTCTTCTTGAAAACCTCCAAGAAAAGGGAATCCATCACCTCTCACAGCAGTTCATTCTTATTTTGATTAGTTTTGATTGTTAGGACATTTTTCCTCATGTGAAGCCTAAAGTTGCCTTTTTGTGATGGTTTTGTGGTGCTCCTATTTCTGCACCAATGGGACCCAAGAGATCCTCCATGCTAAGCATGCCAACACCCTTAATTCAATCATCATATATCATAGACTCGAGGCTCTTCACCCTCTTGGTGGTCCTCTTCAAGAGCAATTAGGTGCTCTCAAATTATTTCTTTCCTTATACTGGGTAGCAACTTCCTATTAGCTACTTTGTTCTGTCATTTCTGGGGCAAAGACCATTCTCCTTAGCTGAAAAAAATAAGAAATGAAATAAGAATTCAGTGACTCATCGTTGTTGTCAGTTATCATTGCATCCACCCCAAGGAAATGTCCTATCTCTTCTCTGAGCCCCCTTTTTTTTCTTTCAATATCACCAAAACAAAAACCCTTTTTGTTGCCTTTACATTTCCTTCACCATCTTCAATTCATTCTGAGCATTAGCAACCCTGCACTATCTTTATAGGACTGTACTTCCCTCTCATATACTTTTTTGGTTATCTGCATTTACTTCCATGTTCTATGCCTCTCTTTAACATTTAAGTTGGTTGGTGAATTGGCTGCACATTCACAATGGTCTTTTCAGACCAACCCCAGTTTTTCTCCTAATTGGGATTTTTTTCCCTTTGTGCCTTTTGAATTTCATTCTTTAGCATTCCCTTTGAGCTGGCTTAGCCTGAAGTATGCTATTTCATGAGATCCTATCCCTATTTTCCCCCTGAACTTAATGAAATCTGCTTTCCCAAAACTGAAGATGCCTGTCAGACTAAACCCAGATTTCCTAGCCTTCTCTGTCTCAAACTCCAGGATGGAGCAGTCACTTCCTTCCAACCTTCCCACTATTTCCACCTCAGCAACTGGTTCCTCTATGACAGTGAGAATCAAATCCAGAATACACCTGGTGGGTTCCTACACTTTTTGAAAGATTAAATTATTGTTGAGCAAATCAAGAAGTCATTGCCTGGTCTGTTCTTGGTAGGGAGAGAATTCAAGCAGATATCTCAACTGAATCATCATTTTATCATGCCTTTGTATAAGGTTTGTGATGTGTTTCTTAAAGTCTCTCTATTTCTTCTTCCTGTCCATCTAGAATATGGCCCTAGTTTCTTAATATTTTTCATTATCTAGTTGGGTATTCATTCATTCGTTTGACCATTCATTTACTGATTCAATAAACATGTGATGATTGTCTTCCATATTCTTAGAGACATCTAGGTGGCTCAGGAGTTAGAGTGCTGGACTTGGAATCAGGATATACCTAAGTTCTAATTCATTCTCAGACACTTACTAGCTCCATGACTCTGAACAAGTCACTTAACCACTGTCTGCCTCAGTTTTCTTAGCTGTAAAATGGGGATAATAACAGCACATATCTCCCAGGGTTGTTTTGAGGATCAAATGAGACAATATTTGTGAAGCACTTGGTATAGTGCTTCACCTAGCACCCACATACTAATAAAAATGCTCATTCCTTTCTCTTCCCTTCCCTTTCAGGGCTCAGTGTTAGGACGCAGTGTTGGACTTGTTGGGTATAGATCAAAGACAGTCCCTGGCTTCCAATAGCTTAGTAGTTTCTTTAACTACATAATTCATTTTTTGCTATATCTTAAAACATAGGTTCACAGTTGCTGAATATCTGGGAAATAACCCAAGAAGGTTGGCAGTTGGGAAAACCTCCTTAGGCTTAAAAATAAATGGCTGAGGGGCAGCTAGATGGCGCAGTAGGTAGAGCATCGGCCCGGGAGTAAGGAGGACCTGAGTTCAAATCTGGCCTCAGACACATGACACTCACTAGCTGTGTGACCCTGGGCAAGTCACTTAACCCCCATTGCCCAACCAAAAAATACAAAAACAAAAACAAAAAATAAATGGCTGCCAGAGATTCACAATTGAAATAATTTCCACACAGGAAGTAGAATGACCTTGCTACTGTCTCCTAAAACAAAGGGGTTCAGATGGAGATTGGGGATGAAAAACTTTGCAGCTTGGTGCAGGAGTCAAAAGACTTGGGTTCAAGTCCTGCCTATGATTCTGTATGATCTCAGTCAAGTCACTGAATCTTTCTGGGCCTAAATGTTCTAAATTTTAAAATTAGAAGTCTAAACCGGATGGCCTCTGAAATCCTACCAGCTACGAGTCAATGTGCCTATTTAATAAAACAAATAAACTACCACAGAAGGGAGTGAGCTTCCTGACACTAATAATAGCTGACATTTAGATAGCTCTTCTAAGCAAAACACATTACATCCTTTCATTATCTCATTTGAACTGTGATCAACAATTCTGTGAGGTAAGTAGTACTGTTTTTATTATGCCAATTTACAGATGAGGAATCTGAGGCTCAGAGAAATAAAGTGGCTTTTCCAAGGTCATGGCACAAGTAAGTGCAGGCAGTAAGATTTGAACTCAGGTCTGAACACCAAGTCCATAATTTTTCACTATGTACCCCATGCTGCTTCTCATTAAAAATATTCAAGGAGAGAGGCAACTAGGTGGCACCATGGACAGAGCACTGACTCTGGAGTCAGAAGGACCTACCTGAGCTCAAATCCGGCATCACACACTTACTAGCCATGTGACCCTGGGCAAGTCACTTAACCCCAATTGCTAACAATGAGGAGGAAGAGGAGGAGGAGGATAAATATCCAATCAGGGCCTTGGATGACTATTTGTTGGGAATGTTGGAGAGGGGATTCTGATCCTTGTACAGTCTAGGCTTCTGAGGATCCTTCTAAGTCTGTGATTTTATGAAATATTAACTGCTGACCAATTATTAACAGTCATAGAATCATAAATTCATAGAATCTCAGAATTGGAAGAAATTTGAAAAGTCATTTCCAGTCCAACTTCCTTTCCTATTTTTGAATAAGAATAACTAGCATTTATATAGTGCTTTGAGGTAAGGTGCTTTGTAAATACCTCATTTTTATCTTTTCAATAACTCTGGGAGGTAGGTGCTATTATTAAGGCATGTATGCCTCACTTTTCTCATCAGCAAAATGGGGATAACAATAGCACCTACCTCCCAGAGTTATTGAAAAGATAAAAAGGAGATATTTGTAAAGCATTTTGCTAGTAGAATATAAAACAATTTAAATTCTGGTGTTATTATTTTATACGTGAGGAAGCTGAGGCAAACAGAAATTACATGACTTCCCCACAGTTGCACAGCTAAAAAGTGTCTGAGTCTACATTTCAGTTCAGGTCCTCTTGACTCCAGGACCATGGCACTCTATCCACTGTAACACCTAGCTGGATGTTATAATTTCTTACATACAGTATTCCCAAGTAGCCAGCCAGCTTTTGTTTGAGTACCTCCAAGGACAGTACTTCAATCCATACAACATTTTTAAAAGAATGATACAACTGAGAGTAACACACACACACACATACACACTCTCTCTCTCTCTCTCTCTCTCTCTCTCTCTCTCTCTCTCTCTCTCTCTCTCTTTCTCTCTCTCCTTGCCCCTCCCCACCTTCACTCCCATGCAAACCTTCCCCTCACACACAGACTCAGAACTTCTACTTTCACCACTTCCTTTATGTCCGCCTCTCCTCAACAAATACTCTTCTTCATGCATGCCTCTCCTTCACCCAAATGCACACTTCCCCCTACATATTTCACACATATGCACATCCCTCCCTACATCTATCTCTTCCTCCCCTCTGTCTGTCTGTCTCTACGTCTGTGTTTATGTCTGTCTTTCTGTCTCTCTCTTTGTCTCTGTTTCTCTGTGTGTGTCTGTCTCTGTCGCTGTCTCTCTCTCTCTCTCTCTCTCTCTCTCTCTCACACACACACACACACACACACACACACACACATACACATATACACACACATTCACACACACACACACACACACACACACACACACACACACACACACACTCCACCACCACCATCAGAAAGAAGAGTCAAGCATTTACAATCCCAACCATCTTCTTAACCCAAACCCCTTTTCCAAACAGCCTCGAAGACAGACCTCAAAATGCAGTCTGCAATTCCCTGGGTATGTTAGGATTGGCAACTATGGTGCATCCAAATTGGACTAAATTGTGGGGTGGGGAAAATCAGGGCATAAAAGGTTTAGAGAGGAGGGGTAGGTGATTTGGGCTAGTACCTGAAAGGTTAATCATCTCTTTGAAAATCTTATACTCTGTATCCAGGAGGGACAGCATGGGCTTTATCCCTTTTACCCACCCATCTGTAGATCTGGAACAGATTTAGGTGGATTAAGGAAGCTAAACACAGGCAGTAGTGTCAGAGAGAATTGGGAAAGATTCTTAATCTACCTGCCCAAGATGGCACTTTCTGGTGAAATACCAGAGATTAAATGTGACCTCAGTTCTGCTTTGTGCATAATATGCAGAATATCCCAGGTATGAATCATCTCCCTGCCATGACCCCATAACACTCAGAGCCTTTTGCCTTTAATTGAATTCAAGTCGTTCTAAAAGTCTCCTATCCACAGTATGGGATCTGTGTGGCTCTGATTTCACTTTGGGGTTGGATTTTGCTTCCAAAGTCAACCTTTGCCTCCATCCAAAGACTTAGCTTATCTGCTTCAATTTTAGGGTCTGGAAAAAAAGATACCACCCTAAGAAGCAGAAGTAAGAAAGAAAAGCATTGTGGGCAAAGGGTACAGCCAGTGCAAAGGCACACAGATACGAAGTCAAGTAGACCTCAAGTAGGCTTGTCAGGCTATGGAGTGTGAGAGAGAGGTTTCATGTTGTCCAGAGTCAGGGGTGGGGAACTTTGGCCTCAAGGCCACATGTGGCCTTCTATATTCTTGGGTTCAGCCTTTTGACTGAGTCCAAGTTTTACAAAACAAATCTTTTTATTGAGGCGATTTGTTCTGTGAAGTTTGGATTCAGTCGAAAGGCCGCACTTGAGGACGTAGAGGGCCACACATGACCACAGTTGCATGAGCTATCCATTGAGTAAGTCCATCACTATGCACATCTAAGATAGGCCCTGCAGATAATATACTGAACTGGGCCTAGACTTGGGTCCATCTTCTAAAGCATGGGTCAAACTACATCAACTCCCTACTCAATAAACTCCTGCAGCTCCCTACCCCTTCCAGGATCAAATACAAATCCTCTGCTCAGCATTCTAAACCCTTCAGAGGTTGGCCCCTTCCCACCTTTCCAGTCTTCCTACATTTTCCTGCTTTCCATGCACTTAGCCATTCACTGGCCTCTATTTTTTTTAACAAAACACTGTGTTGCCAGGGATGGCTTTGATGGCTTACATATAAAGAGTAAAAGGAATAAGTCATTTTTGCATTTGTATGTGAGAAAAGAGCATGAGGTGGTCACTTTAGAGAGAATAGCAGATGACAGTGGACACACTCTCGGCCCTGAGATATTAAAAAACAAATAAATGAACAAAAAACCCAAGGAAAGACCTTCAAGACATTGGAGAAAACTTCTTTGCTAGATTTGTGACGCTGAAATCTACTTCTGAGAAGGAATGCCTTTACAGAAGAAATCATTCACCCATAGGAACACCCAAGTACCAGGCAACTGGCAAAATCAACTGCCAACATAAGGATGTTTAGCCTGGAAGACTCAGTAGATAACATGGTAGCTGTCCTAAAATATTCAAAATGTCGTTACATGGAAGAAGAATTGGACTTTTTCTGATTGGCCTCAGAGGGCAGAATCAGAGGATGGAGGTTGCAGTGGTCAATTTAGATTTAGGACAACTTCCTAACAATTAGAATGACTCTAAAATGGAATGAGCTGCCCAAGGTAACAAGGTTCCTCTTTATCAGGCATCTTCAAGCAAAATCTGAATGAACATTTACTGGGAATACTGGAAGGGAGATTCGCATCTGACTATGGTTTAATTCAATGATCCATGTAGTCCTCTCCAATTTTGAGATTCTGTGAAGATATTGTCCAGGTGACCATTGCTTTATGCATCTGGTACATTCCTGAACGATTAAGTGAAATCATATTTCTGTGTATATAATATTTTAAACAAATCAAATTTTAGCTTCACTGCAGGGAGCTGGGAGTTTTAAAGATCCCCTGGGCTGAATCCTTCTGTGAAGATTTTTTTAAATAAATAATGTCTCTGAGTTTTTGTTTCCATTTGGATTTTTAATTATTTTTGTTGTGTTTATTCAGTCATGTCAGTTATGTCCAGCTATCTGTGATCCCCTTTGGGGTTTTCTTGGCAATGATACTGGAGTGGTCTGTCATTTCCTTCTCCAGCTTATTTTGTATATGAGGAACTAAGGCACACAGAGCTAAGTGACTTGCCCAGGGCCACACAGCTAGTAAATATCTGAGGCCAGATTTGAACTCAGGAAGATGAGTCTTCCTGACTCCAAGCCCAGTGCTCTATCCACTGAGCCACCATTTTCTTAAAGTGAAACAAACCCGTGCTACAGTAAGACATTAGGACATAGAACAGACTTTCCCCTTGTTTTGCCTCTAAATTTTGGAAAGGATGACAGGTCATGAAAATAAGGGCAGGGGCAGTGAGGTGGCACAGTGGATAGAGCACTGACCCTGGATTCAGGAGGACCTGAGTTCAAATCCAGCCTCAGACACATAACACTTACTAGCTGTGTGACCCTGGGCAAATCACTTAACTCCATTGCTTGGCCAAAAATTAAAAAAAAAAAACCATAAGGGCAGAGTTGAATAAAAGGACACTCAGAGCAACCACTGAAGGAATGTGAATACATTCCATGAATCACTGTTTACTCTGCAAATATTTCATAAAAAAAAGATGTGGCTGAGATGCAGAAATATGGTAACTACATATTCTGGCCAGGCCCAAACCTGAACATGCTTGATGTATGTGCCCTCTACATGCGCTCTCTGGCCACATCTTTTCATGTATATTTACTAGTTACATATGTTCCTTTGATGTAGGCTCTCCATGTGTATTCCCTGGCCAAATGTGTTCTCAGTGTGCATGCTCTGCCCTACTGATTGTGTGATGATCTATAGGATAGTATAGTCCATGGGTGCATAAGTGGATCTTCTCTTATTACTTCATTTTTTATTCTCGTTGACTAAACTTGGTTCGGTGAGCAGATCACTAGATCTGGAATCAGAGAACTATGTTGAAGTCCCATTGACAGAGGAGTCAGAGGACCTAGGTTCAAATCCAATGATTTTCTTTTATTATCTATGTGACTTTGAGTGAGTCACTTAACCCCTCTAGTTTCCTCATCTGTACAGTGAGGATATTGTCCTATATGGTCTCAGAGGTCCCTTCCAGCTCTAAAACATTTTTTGTTTTGATCATATGAACCCTAGGGCTAACCTGTAAAAACAACACATCAGTTGGGTCTCATAAGCTCTAGTTTTATGAGTGAGTATTGGACCACAGAATGTCTCAAACATGGAACATTTTTTCTGGGGGCCCAGATAGGGGAGGTGTGCCCTAGGGGCTACATCTTGATTGAAGAAGACAGAAAGGCAAGAGAAAAACTGCACTATCTTCCAAAGAAACAAGTGGATAAGAGAAGCAAGTAAGGAAATTATAATGGAATCTGTCCTGCTGCTATGCATGGTACATCGCCCTACATGCATTGCCTTCTTCTTTGTCTTCTTTTCAATATCACACATTGTAAGAGAACAAACATTTGTTAAGCAACTATCATATAGGTGCCAATCACTGTGCTAAGTGCTTTGTTGATATCTCATTGATAATGTAAGATGCACAGAGATCGGATGAAGCTTAAAGGATTGTACCGTTCTTTTCAAAATCCAGAGAATAAAAAGCTATGGGCATTAAAATGAAGGAATGATGCCTTTCCATACTCCTTGTATCATTGTTTTTGGTCTTGTTGGCATAAAGAGAACCTCTATGTTGGTGAAAAAACTTCCATGGAGCAAAATACAAAACTAAGGTCCCGGCAAACTATAAAATGGAGTGAATGAATGCCAACCTTTGGTTTAGGGGAGGTTTTTTGGTCAAACGATTTTAATGATTTGAATGTGTACTTTTAAAATATGCAAATAAAAAGTTACAAAACCTGGGGAAACAGAATAGTCTTGAAAATCCCTGAGGTTGTAAGCCAAGCACACTTTAAAAAATGATAGGATCATAGATTCAGGGCAAGATATAGAGCTTATCCTGTCCATATGCTTTCATTTACAAAGAAAACTGAGGTCCTGCAAGATTAAATGATTTAAGGGGCAGTTAGGTGGTGCAGTGGATAAAGAACCAGACCTGCATTCAGGAGACCCTGAGTTCAAATCCAGCCTCAGACACTTAACGCTTACTAGCTGTGTGACTCTGGGCAAGTCACTTAACCCCAATTGCCTTGCCAGGGGGAAAAAAAAAGATTCAATGACTTACAGAAGGTCACAGAGCTTATAAGAAGCAGGCTATAATTTAGCAGTGAAGATTCTAACGGTTAATTTCTCAGAATCCTCTATTTCATGAACATCATCAGCTTCTCAGAGCAAGGCAAATACATTAAAATTCACAACATGGTGAAAAGAGACCAATCAATGTGTTGAAAGACATGTAGGCAAAGGAGAACAGCATGAGACTGAGAAACAATGAGTAGACTGGTTAGACTGAAACCTAGACTGTTCATTCTATGCAGAATGACTGGAAAGGTAGCTTAAAGCCAGGTTGTAGAGGGTGAGGCTATTTCCAGTATATTCAATAGACAATAGGAAGACGCTGAAGGCTTTTGAGCAGAGAAGTAATGATGTCTTAGGATCTGCATTGATGTGAAGGATGGACTGGAGAGAGGGACAGGATCCATTAAGTCCACTTAGTAACTGATAGTTACAATAGTAAGGTGAGAAAGAGCTTGAACAAAGATGGTAGCTATGATAGTGGAAAAGAAAGGGAAGATGTAAGACATATTTAAGAAACAGAATACACTGGACTTAACAATTGATTAGATACAAAGGAATAAGAAACTCGTGATGTCATATAAAGAGGACTGGGTTTGGAATCAAAGGACATGAGCTCGAATCCTAGTTCTGTCACTACTTATATGACCTTGTAAGTCACTTCCTTTCTCTGGGCCTCAGTTTCCAAATTAGACTAGATCAATAGTGTTAAAATGCAAATAGAGCTTGCCACTAAACTGCATATAAGGATCTCTGCTGGCCACACATTGACTTAGAAAACCAAAACTTAACATTCTCTAAGTTTTATTATATTTTTATGTTTGTTAAATATTTTCCAATTGATCTTAATCTGTTTTAGGTTGTACTAAGGTATGTTGCTGGCCATATTGGACCCCTGGCAACTCCTGTTTGAAACCTGTGGTCTAGACACACTCCTTTCATATTCTTATACACTGCTTTATATGATTAGATATCTTTGCATATGGTTATTTCAAGTGTCTACAACTAGATTGTATATTCTCCAGGGTATTTATTGACAATATGTGATATTTCTTTGTATTAACCACAGTTACTAGCAAAGATGTGGGTATATATGATAGATGCTCAGCAAATCAATACTTTTTGAGTAGTAGACTGCATAAGATCTTTGAGGGCTTGCATTGTTTTGTTTTTGCCATTGTAGTCTCAGTTGCTAGCAATGAGTGCAGTTGCTTAACCAACCTTTGTTGATTGGAATGGAATTCAATTGAATAAGTCTCACAGTACTGTCCTAGGGAGGCTGATTGTACCCAGCATGAATCATGTCTCCCAATTCCAACACTGAGATCACCACTCCAGCACCACCAATGACATCTCTTTGGGAATATGTTACACCAAGAAGAACTGTCAGATTATTCCTCCATCTATAGGAAGGGGTAGCACACAAAGAACTGATGTCTGAGCCAGGAAGACTTGGGTTCAACCTCTGACACCCACTAACTACGTATATGTAAATCCCTTAAAACTTTCCGTGTTCTAAGCAACTCTCTAAGACTATAAGTTGCAGATATCTGACCTGCATTGATAGAATGAGCTATCTCACAGTCCCTATCTGTACATAGAACCAACCAGGTATGACTCTATTCAAAACATTTCAGTGGCTTGCTATAGCTTACTGAATAAAACCCCAACTCCATAGGCTGCTCTAAGCTTAGCCTGGCACCAAAGGCTCTCTCCACAAGCTGAAGTATACCACTAATCACCACCCTAAACTGTCTTGCATCTGCTTCTCCATGCCAGAATGGTCTCCTCCAAACCATTCTGTTTCCACCTATTGAATTCTAAGCCTTCAGTAACTGCTCAAACCTTTTTTGACATCAGATTATTCTTGTCAGAGTGAATCTATATAAAATTTTTAAACATTGGAAAGCCCTCAGACAAAGCTGACAACATCACAGAATGAGTATGAGAGAAAACCTAGCTGCAATTGATGCCATCTAGTTACATCTGTTTGTATTAAAGAACATAATAATGAGGTTTCTTTATGAATCCCTTCCATAATTTTTTTTTCATTTACTGATAGAATCCAGGCCATTTATTTATTCAGAACACAGCTATTATTGCAATGAATTGGATTTGTCTTCTGAAGAAAAAAATTCTACCCATTCTTTAAGATCCAGCTCTAATGTCACCTCCTCTGGAAAGCCTTCCTTTTCCTAAAGTTGGCAAAGTATTTTTCACAAATCAGCATAGCATTACTATTCAATAGATATAGCATAGGTGCGTTTCTGTGCCAGTAACTGCGGGTGGGGAGACAGTGTGTCACATGTTAGGGTCAGCAAATATAGCTAAACAGTAGAGTGTAGGAGGAGTAATATGTTTTGAATTTGAAAAGATTACATGGAAGCCAGGGTGTGAGAGGTTTTAAAAGCCAAATAGAAGGCTTTATTTTATTCTAGAGCTGATATGAAGCAACTGGAATTTGTTGAGTGGGAGAATGACACAGATCTACACATAGAAAAAGTCATTTTGACAGTTGTGTGAAGGACAGAGAGACTTGAGGTATACAAGGAAGTTTATGGGAATCCCAAATGAGTCTCTGAACAATGTGTTACAGGAGTTCAAAGATCACGGTAGTCATACGAGTATGATTATTGCTACTCTACAGCTATGGAAACTGAGGCACTGAAGGTTTGATTTGTCCATACTTACATAATAAGTATCTGAAGCAATATTTGATCTCCTGACTCCAAGTCCAGCACATTTTCCCCAATGTCATGTTACCTTTAAGAGGATGAACCTGAAAAATAATTGGTGCTTGAATGCATGTGCATTAGAGCAGAGTGGGGGGCAGACAGGGAAGTGAGAAAGATCTCTAATCAAAATATGATTAGAGGGCAGAGAAGGATTTTAAAAGGTTTATGCTGGACTCTGATAGAACAAGGAGAGGGAGGAGGTCAGAAGCAAAGCTGGCCCTGGGGGGGAACAGGGAAGGAGGTAAAGTGAAGTCTACAATGACCCTCAGGCTCTCCTTCACCATCTAGACTATGTTCCATTTCTATAGGGACAGTGTCTCAACTACCTGTCAGCTAATCCCCAGGAAAATATTAGCTAATAACTGAAGCTAAATACTGAGTGGGCAGCTAGGTGGTGGGACAGCTAGGTGGCACAGTAGATAGAGCACTGGCCCTGAAGTCAGGAAGACATGAGTTCAAATCTGACCTCAGACACTTACTAGCTGAGTGACCCTGTGTGCCTCAGTTTCCTCATCCATAAAATGAACTGGAAAAGGAAATGGCAAACCACTCCAGTATCTTTGCCAAGAAAACCCCAATGGGGGTCATGAAGAATTGGATATGACTGAAAACAACTAAACAACCACAACGGCAACTAGGTGGAATAGTGGATAGAATGCTGGCCTGAAACTGAGAATATCTGAGTTCAAATCCAGCCTCAGACACTTACTAGCTGTGTGACCCTGGGCAAGTTAATCCATATTTTCCTCAGTTCCTCATCTGTAAAATGGGCACAGACTAGAGAAGGAAATGGCAAACCGCTCTAGTATCTTTGTCAAGAAAACGTTATGGACAAGTCTAGGGAGTCTCAAAGAGTCAGATTCAACTGAACAGCAACAAATACTGAATATTACTTTTCCCAAGGGAAACTTGTATTTTATGGGAGATTTTTGAAGACCAAAAGTCTTCAGGGTACTTAGGTGGGCAGAATTTTGGGGTCTGGTGGATATTTTGGGGCAAGGCAGCCCCCTAAATCATATTGCATAGGCAGTCCTCTCCTCTGTTCACTCATAGGGTCAGACTAGGGGAAAAAATGGATCAAGGGAAGAAGAGCAGAAGAAGAGGGAGAAATAAAAGGGAAAAAAGGGGGAGAAGAAAGTGGCATGGGTAAGAGGATGATGAGAAGAAGAGAACGGTCAGTTTTTGTTCGCCTTTGTGCATCATCAATCCTGGAGCTGACTCTTCTAGGGACAACAGTGACAACTGAAACTGTGCTCAGGAGACATGAAAGCATCATACAGTACAGAGGAGAGTGCTGCACTTGGATCTGGAGTGCCAGGAGGGAGTTCTTGCTCTGTGTGACCTTAGGCAAGTCACTTCTCTGAACCTCGGTTTCTCCTCCTATGTAAAAAGAACTGCCTCATAGAACTGCCATGGGGCTCAAATGACAGAGTAGATATAAAAGTACTTTGTAAACTTTCAAGTGCTATACGTAAATGTAAAGTTGGAAGGAGACTTAGGGTGACTTATGGTCTGGTAAACTCATCAGTTTGTTGAGGGTGGTCTTTTCAGCAATTAGCACAGTGCTCTGCACCAAGGAGGGCACTCACTAGATGCTAATAGCCTTGGAATTCTGCCTACCGTGAAGAAAAAGGAATGAGAAAAATAGAGATGGCCCAATGGACAATGACTAGAGGTGAACATACGTTGACTTAAAAATTGCCTAAGCATAGATGCCAATCTCCGTAAGAAATCATTACCAGTATACATAGCCTCCTACGTAGTTCTGGGTTGTGTCCCAGTTTTGCTTCTGTGTAACCTATCTGCAGGCCTTAGAAGGGCTGTCACAAGAAAGAAGGAGGCGATGAGTTCTGTTTAACCCCAGAGGGCAGAAGTAGAAGCCAGTGGGTGAAAGTTGCAGAGATGATGATTTAGGCTTGACAGAATGAAAATCTTCCCAACAACTGGAGAGCTGTCCAAAAAAATACAACAGGCTGCCTCAGGAAGTAGTGGGATCCCACTCTTTGGAGGTCTTCAAACAGAGAATACACCATGTGTTGGCTGAGTTGTAGAATAGATTCTCTTTTCAGGCACTGGATGAGATGTCCTCTTAGATCTTTTCTAGTTCTGAATTTCTGTGTGTTACCTCAGGTGAAGCAATTCCTTTCACTGAGCCTTGGTTTCCCTGTCTGTGAAATGGACTAGTTATCTTCTATGATGTTTTTCAACTCTTGCCTTCTTTGGTTTAATGAGTCCAACCCAGACCCTGTCTTTAAACATTCCTGAGACAATGGGGTGGGGGGGAAGGGGAAGGAGTCTGGATGAGGGTAGAGAGGGCATTACTAAGTATAGTAATCTTAAGCACTCCCCCCTCCCATACACACACACACACACACACACACACACACACACACATTTCAACACTCCCCTCCCAAACAAAATTGTTAGCTCATCAGCAAAGATTACCTTTCAGACCTCTCTCCCATCTCACTCTCAGCCAAGATAACAGAAAGGCCCCTATGCTATGAGTCAAGAACAAATAATTTTGTAGCTCAATGAATCAAACATGTTTGCAGAATCATGGGAAAGATAACTAACACATTAGATAGCAGAGTCAGTCTACAAAACTATCTCAACAGCCTAGAAGGATTTATTTAGAAGGCAAATTTAATGCAATTAAATTGAGTGAGAATAAATATAAAGTCCTACACTTGGATTAAAAAAAGTGCACATATGGTGGGGGGGGGGCAGACAATAATATCTGAGGTTTTAAGTGAGCTGCAAGCTCAATAAGTCAACACTGTGACATAGGCAGCCAACAAAGCTAATGGATGAAGAAAGGTCCAGTGTCCAGGGTGATGGAAGTGATAAGCCCTGCTTTACTGGGCAGCTAGCTGGTACAGTGGATGCAGTGCTGGGCCTGGAGTCAAGAAGACCTGAGTTCAAATCCAACTTCAGACATTTACTCATTGTGTGACCCTGGGCAAGTCACTTAACCCTGTTTGCCTCAGTTTCATCATATGTAAAATGAGCTGGAGAAGGAAATGGTAAACCACTCCAGTACCATTGCCAAAAAAACTTTAAAAAAAATTGGGGGGTGGTTTACAAAGAGTAGGACAAAATTGAAAACAACTGAACAACAACAACTGTGCCCTGGTCAGATCATATCTAATTCATTCAGTTCTGAGGGCCACATTTAGGAGGAAAATTGACTATCTCTATAATGTCCAGAGAAAATCAATTAGGGAGACCTGAAAATAATGTCAAGCAATGCTCCATTAAAGGGAATGAGGCTGTGTAGTCTGGTGAAGACTTAAGTGGAAACATGATACATAAGGCAATTGTATGGCATGGTAGATAGAGCACTAGACCTGAAGTTGGGAAGGCCCAAGTTCCAATCCAGCCTCAGATACTTCCTAGTTGTGGGATCCTAGTCAAGTCACTTAAGTCTGCCCCAGTTTCCTCATTTTAAAAATGGGAATAATAATAATAGCATCTGCCTCACAGGTTTGTTCTAAGGATAAAAGGAGATATCTGTAAGGCACTTAGGAAACTTTAAAATATTATACAAATACTAACTATCATTATTATTATATCTTGAAGTATTTGAAGAACTGTCATGTAGAGGATAGAATAGATTTATTCTAACTGACCCATAAGGGAAGAATTCTATGACCACTGAAAGAAAGTTACAGAAGCAAATCTAAGCATCAGGTAAAGGAAAACTTCCTGTTAGGTAGAGCTGAACAAAAATGAACCAGGCTACCCTGGGAGGCAGTGGAGTTCTTCATCAGTGGAAGTGTCCAAGTAGAGGCTGGACCACCACTTGTGAGACATGTTTTTGTTGAAGAAAGGATTACTGCTCAGATATAGGTTGGTCGCATAGTCCTATGAGATCTATTCCATCATGAGATCCTGTGATTATACTTTGGCCACAGAGGGTTGCTGGAATATATACCGTTTGTCATTTTTAGTGTTTTGAGGGAACCAGGATATCTCGATTTAGAGTCCTGAGACCTAGATTTAGAGATCTGAACCCAACTATGTGACCTTGACCATGTGTCACTTCAGCCCTCTAGATTTTAGCTTTTTCATCTGTAAAATGATTGGAGTTTTGGATAGAATGACCTCTAAAAATCCTTTCAACACTAAACTCTATAATCCTAAAGTTATCTTGAAGGTCAAGCACAGTAGGAATATATAACATTACCAAAGCCCCATACCCAATTTCTAGAGAACTCAGACTTTTCATTAAAAGTTAATTTTTTTAAGATTAGATTGCTCAGTTTGTTCTTATTTATTTTATTTTATTTTTAATTTATGAAATAAAACAAGCATTTCCATAACATGATATAATAAAAAAGATTATTGCATATGAAATTATAAATCTATTATGTATAATTTTCTATTTCTTTTAAATATACAATAAATTTATCACATAAATTTATTTTTTTTCCTTTTTTTTCTTCAGTTCAGGACATATGAAGGATTACTGAGATTCTTGAGGCATGAAGCAAATATTAGATAAAGAAAGGAGGCATTACTAACCCAATCTGTTCTCTTTTGCTCTCTCCCCAAACTTAAATCCTGAGATTCCTCTTATATTTGTAAGAGGGCTAGAGGTATGTAATGAAAGAAATGTCTCTCATAAACTTTTGGGGATGAACTAACTGAGTGTCAGAGTTCGTTATTCTCCCATGACGCTTCTTCCTGTTGCCTTTTGGGAGAAGGAAGGGGAAAATATCACTTAGTGATTACATAAGATTGTGATCAGCTCACAAAAAAACTCATTAGAAAATGCATTTGTGTGCCCTGGAATATATGGTGGGGGTAGAAAGGAAGGGGAAAAGACAATCAATGTTGGCAAGATCTGGAAATGGCAGCAGAAGAGCAGGGAATGGCTGAATTAGGCATTGGGTACCACAACCCTCTGAATCTAGGGATATAAACCAGCTCATGGGTCAAGGAATGTTGAGCCAGCTTGATTCTAAAGGCTGAAGATCAATAAAGTTTAGAAAGTAGTGAAAGGAGAAAGTCTTAGGCCAGGGGCTAGGGGCCCTTGGCTCAGTTCTAAGGGGGCACCTGAAGCCCTGGAAAACCACACTGGTCAGCAAGGCCTTGGGTCCAGACTAGATTCTTCACAAGGATACTAGACATCTGTGAAATACAAATATAAATATATTTGTACACATGGATTGAATCAAACTGTCATTTCAGAGGAATTGAGAATTGTAATAATTAGTTAATAATTAATATATGGTCCACTGAATTATATCTGGTAAAAGCAAGTTGCTAGATTTGGCAGAAGGGTGTCAAGTAGGGAGAAGGGGAAAACATTTGGAAAGGGCCAATTTTGATCAATCAACGAAAAACATTCATTAAGCATTTACTAGATGCCAGGCACTGTGCCAAGTGCTGGGGATACAAAAAGAGGCAAAAGACAGCCCTTGCCCTCAAGGAGCTTGTAGGAGAGACAACACATAAACAAATATATATATATATATATATATATATATATATATATATATATATATATGTGTGTGTGTGTGTGTGTGTGTGTGTGTATATATGTATATGTATATGCATATTTATATATAAAGCAAGATATATACAGGATAACTAGAAATAATTAAGAGAGAGAATTTGGAAGGGGGGACTCCCCCTTCCCTTCCTAGTTGTCCAGGAGTACTTCCTAGAAGTAGAGGGGGATGGAAGAGAGAGGATTTCAGAACTTGGGGAAAAGATAGAAAATGGGAAGGCCAATGGGTCAAATGTGGAGAGAAGGCAGGCTTGAACAAGGCCTCTGGTTCAGAGGCAGGAAGGAGATTATCAGACAAAGGGGAGCAAAAAGCAGTTGAGGACTAGTACTATGATGTAATACAATAGAAAAGCTCAGGGCCAATTCCAGAAATCAATCAAGAGAAGGCTTCCTAGGTCTCGGTGAAAGAATCCACCCACGTCCATCCCCACTCCCATAAAGAAGGAATGCTGCTGGACTTCATCCAGGGACTCAGGATGAGGGAGAGTGTGTCTTATTTAACCAGCAGGTGCTAAAAATGGGCCTGAAGCTAATTCCTACACATCAAAAGCCCATAAGCTCCCCCCACCCACCTCCATTTCCTGGGCATCACAAGGTCCTGTACCATGCCAGCCTTTTCAAGTTGTCCCCCAAGAACAACACCAAGTTCACACAAGGCACTGTTGACATTTCAGAAGGAGAAGGTTTCTACAAAACATAAATCTGTGCACGTGTATGTATCAGAGCAGTCAGTCACTTAGGGAGAGAGGTAAGCATCATTAGTCACTGGATAGTTGCCAAACTGTAATTCTCCATCTAAAGAATGAGTTTGGCAAGTCATTTCAGGAACCAAAGCTGGAACACCCTTAGTGGGAAAACGATTGGGACATTTTGTTGATTCTGCCAGCCTGGAGCTGGATTAAAAGTCTCCAGCAGAGGCCATCTTTATGCTCACTGCCATCTCTGGGTTTGTAAGAGACGAATAAGTGTGTCTTCTCTGCAATAGTCCACAGGGAGTCCTCTACAGCCCTGGCAAGTTCCTGTTTAAGCCAAGAGGGACTGTTTTGTCAACATCCATTTCCTAAAATGTGATGCCATGTGTATCTGACCAAGGCACAATACAATGCAACTCCATTTTCCTTGTTGTAAATAGTACATCCAAACCACATCAGCTTTGGGGACACTTCTATCACACTATGGCCTAAGAGTCTCCTTTAAATTGTTTAGGTATCCAATATTTGTCTTTGATTTCTTACTGGTCTACTAAGAGTCCAGGAAGATGCCCTATCACTAGCAGTAGAAGCAGTATCAGTACAAACCTCCCTGTCAGCCACCTCAAAGGTCTCAGAATACTGTCCACTCATGCTCCCAGAGCAGTGCCCACCACCACTTAACCCACAGAAGTGCCCATCTGCACAACCACTCCCACTTGAGCAGAAATATCCACCCCTAAAGAGGTCACATCTTCTGAAACTCTGTACTCCACCCCAAACCACAAAATGAAGCTGTGCCCCACCCCAGGAAATGCTGTATTCTTGAATAAAAGCAAACATTTCCTCCTGAAGAGGCAAATATTCACCAGATCCAACAAGAAATCTTCTGCCCATCTGGCTTTGTTTCACTTTATCCATTTGTTCACCCTAACCATGTCTATAGTTTTCTCCAGTTCCAGCCTCAATTTGGGAGACAGGCTGTGACTGGACAGACACAACATGCTTTTTTTTTTATCACCCCTGGCTAGAGGACACTCCTTCCTTCTTCTGTTCTGCATTTCTGTTGTGGCCAGTGTAGGGCCAGTTCTACAAATTATTAACTCTATGCTCCTACCCCCCAAAATTCTTAGTCCATCTTTCTTTTTTTTATGTAATTTATTTAGTTTTAGTTTTCAACATTCTCTTATTTTTGGGGGGGGAGGCTAGGCAATGGGGTTAAGTGACTTGCCCAGGGTCACACAGCTAGTCAGTGTTATGTGTCTGAGGCCAAATTTGAACTCAGGTCCTTCTGAATCCAGGTCTGCGCCACCTAGCTGCCCCTAGTCCATCTTCCTAATACCCTTCCCAGCCCCATCCTTATCTCCCAATGCAAAAATGCTAAAAGGAACTTGATTCTTCCCCACTGTCCTTTCTATATTTCCCCCAAAAAAAGGGAGGGAGAAAATGTAGTTTGGAAAGTTTGACAAGGAAAATAGCCTAAATGAGTTTAAAACTCTCCCATAAGCTCCTTTCCTGACATTTCTGGCATTCTGTTCCTTTGATTCCCCCTTCTCATCTAGGGACTGTTCCTCTGCATGGCTGGGAGTTGTTACATGCACACATGCACATACAAACACACACACACACACACACACACACACACACATACACCACACCATGAACACTTATAGATCATAGGGTCAAAGTTTAAAAGCTGGAAAGAACCTTAGAGGTTATCTACAATCTAATCTCTTCATTTTTATAGATGAGGAGATTGAGGCTCAGAAAGAGTAAGTGATTGGTCAACTAGTAAGTGTCTGAGGCAGGCTTACAATCCATTTTCTCAAAATTAAAAAAAAATAGTCTTATGGCCTGATTCCTGCTCATTTGACTTTCTTGGTGCTGTTTACTGGGCGGGGTGGGGAGGGGTGCCACAAGCAAGAGCATAGAGAATTAGGATTCAAAAAGATAGGTGGGGGCAGCTAGGTGGTGCAGTGGATAGAGCATTGGCCCAGAAGTCAGGAGGACCTGAGTTCAAATCTGGCCTCAGACCAAACACTTGACTCGTACTAGCTGGATGACCCTGGGCAAGTCACTTAACCCCAATTGCCTCACTAAATAAACAAACAAGCAAACAAACAAATAGATAGATAAATAAATAAAGATAGGTGAAGAATGTATGAAAAGACAATGAGGGAGGTGGCAGCCCCAGAAGTAGGTCCACAGTAGAATAAGGAGAAATAACTCCACAAAAGGACAACAAAAACTGGCTTATATTTAGCACTTTGAAGATTACAAAAATACTTTACATGTGTTATCTCATCTGAGCCCCATGACAATCTTAGGAGAGAGGAACTATACAAAATATTTTATAAATGAAACTAAACATTGAGGTTAGCTGACTTGCCCACAGCCACATAGCTAATGTGTGTGTCCCAGACAGCATTTGAAGTCAGGTCTTCCTGATTCCAGGTCCAGCACTCTACTCCTATGCTATTCTGCATCTCCATAAGAAAAGATTTCCAGTTTGTAAATGGGCTTCTTCATCTTAGTCTCCTGGGTTCCAAGTTGTCTTTATCCCAACTCTACTTTGAAGGACATCATGTGAAAAGAAGAGCATACTTGGAGTCAGGTAATCCAAATTGGAATTCTGGCTCTGCTCCTTTATAATCTCTGTAATATTGGGATAATTTCTTCATGTGTCTGGGTCTCTATTTTCTCATTCAAAAATGAGATGGTTGGACTGAATTGGCCTCCAAAGTACTTTTAAACATGAAAATGCTGTAATCCTAAACCCCATCTCCTCTCCCCTCTTTTCCTGACCAAGTAGGAATAGGAAATAAAGAGTGACCAAAGGATAAGCCCATGATCACTAGCACTTGCCCCAAAAATTACTAAGTTGCCAACCTGAATTGGCAAGAGTTCTCTCATCTATGAGCTCCCTGTACCAATGCGTACGTGTTCCATGGGTATATCCACACATACACAAATACACCAGACAGCTTGGTCTTTATGTTTTGCTTCCTTGGAACATAAACTCCAGGCAAGCCACGGGTCCGAGCTGAGCCAGGTAACTGTGGCTTTACCCAATAGTTGTCCTCTGATGATGCTAGTGATGATGTCATAATTGAAGGCCAATATCTTTCTTCAGGACAGGGTAAAGGATTCAGAGGGCAAAGCCATCAGCCCAGGCACAGCCAGACTTTCCATCTATCCCACTCAACTTCTTGTCAAGTTTGGTTACCACCAAACCACAGTAAGTTGGATTTTGACAACTGGAAATAATCATTCAGATTAGATTCCTTTTCTGGGTTTGGGGTCTAGTATTCCAGAAAAAAAAAAAACTGATATTTGGTACTGAATGTATTTCAGATGATTTAGGCTTTGGTTGAAATCATTTTGACTCTTTTGGGGTTTTTTGTTGTGAGTAACAGGTTATGTTGTCCCACAGCTTCTCAGCCATTTAGGAACTGGAACATTTTATCACTGTTCAGTTTTGGGGTCACATGGGACTGAATATTTAGAGGCCCTTTTTTGTATTTCTTTTCTTTCTTTCTCCTCTCTCCTTTCTTTCTTTCCTTCCTTTCTCTTTTTCCTTTTTTTCCTTCTCTGAATATGAGAAGTAGAAGGAATTTAATTCTAAGACACACCTTAGAGCCAGAATGGACTAGAAATCATTATCATTGATAAAGAAATTTAACTTGGCCATACAACATCACTTAGAACCACAGAAGAGAGTCATAGGTGGGGAAAGAAACTTATTTTTGTAAAAACTGAATTCCTTTTAGCTCTGAGCAGTGAAATTTTCTACCCCCCCAAAAGAAAGCCCTTAAATGGCCACCATCACAGAGTAATTAGAATTCCCTAAATAATTGCCTCCTGTCCTGATTTTCTCACATGATCATGTTTGTAACTGAATTAAGAGAAGAATCACTGAATCATAGAATATCAGAGGTGGAAGAGGACTTAGAGATTGTACCTAAACTTTAATAGAATTATCTCTGCAACATCTCCAATAAGTGATCATTTAGCCTCCACCAAGGGCTTCAACTAGGGTTGAGCCAACTGGTGTTGTCAACCATGGTCCCAGTCTTGGAGGAAGAACAAGCTTATGTTCTCCCTCAAAGCATAGATCTAAGGCAGTTTCTCCTTTCTGCTGGATGCCTGCCCTTCATTGGTGGTGGACAAATTACCTAGTTAGTATTTCAGGACTAGATTCCTGTTGACTATTAACTGGTATCCCTACCCTCTACCACCTACTTCATCATTAAATTTATAGACAGTTGGGGATGGTAGGGAAAGAAGAGAATCAAGTGGGTGATGGGAATGAGAAGAATGAGCCAAAAACAGATTCAAGAGAAGACAGGATAGTGGACCGAGCTGAACTCGGAATCAGGAGACCCGAGTTTAAAGCCTCCCTCAGACATTAGCTGTGTGATCCAACTTGACAAGTCACAATCTCTCTTAATGCCTCAGTTTCCTCCTCTGTAAAACAAGGATAATGATAACACCTATTTCACAGGGTTGTGAAGACCAAATGAGATAAGATGTGAAGGACTTTGCAAATCTTGAAATTACAGATAACTGGCTATTATCATTATCATATACGATCATTAAAAATAGGCTGGTGCCAAAAAGTGACTAGCAGCATTAATGTTGCCCAAGAGTTAAGCTGAGATTATTGAGCATTCTAACACAGAGAAATTAGCCAAGAGTCTAGCAATCCATAGAAGCATTAGAAAATTACAGAAAGCATGTGTTATGGGCGGAGGGGCTAAAAATTGTCTTTTTTTCCTACAGAGACCTCCTTGGTCTCTCCTTCCTCTCTTAGTTCAGAAAAGAAACTAAACAAGGCTTACCTAAAGGATAAAGGATCGATATGTGAGCGAAAACAAAAGATAGGGGCTGTACAAAGTCTCTCCAATTCGTCCTCCTCACATGTGTCTATCTGATGCTTCTTCATTTCTAGAATCTGGAAAAAGAAAACCACATGCCAAATGAAGAAGACAAAAACAAGCCCTATGAGCCTAAGTGTGAACCCAAGTGTTGTGAGCCCAGGTGCCAACCAAGCTGCCTGAAGAAACTTCTGCAGCGGTGCTCTGAGAAATGCGCCCCAACCTGCCCACCCAAATGTGTCCCATGTCCTCCTCCTTGCCCTAAGCCTTGCCCACCTAAATCCTGCCCACCACCATGTCCTCCTCCTTGCCCACCTAAATGCTGCCCAGCACCATGTCCTCCTCCTTGCCCACCTAAATGCTGCCCACCAAAAAGTCCCCCTCCATGTCCCCCTCCTCCACCATGCCCTCCTCCACCATGCCCCCCACCAGAATGAAAACCATTGGATATTGACCTCCAACATCAACACCACCAACATCATCATCTCTGTCCATCTTGGTGGGTGGGGTGCCTGTAAACTGAAGCCATGAACTGACAAGTAAACGTGTTTCTCTGCTGTGCAACAAAAACATGCCTTTTTCTGGTTGTTTTTGGTTTTTTGTTCTGCGTTTTTTTTTTGTCATAAATCAAATTACGCAAGCCAAATTACTTTGGGCCAACTTCTCCTTTCCATTAGTCAACTCTTCCAAGATTGGTCCTAGATTACCAATAAGCAGAAAGTAATTCTAACTTATGTTCCCCACACACACAGTGGATTATCCACTGGAAAATTTCCACCTTGGCTCCTTTCATAGTTGCTACCTTCCTGAGTCACACAAAACTCTGCCAGATACTTGAAGTTCATTCTGGGAATGGCATGGCATGTCTGAAAAAGCAGGGACCTGGAGTTGGAAGATCTAGAGCTTAAATCCTGACACTGTGGCTTACTTAACTATGGTGCCTTAAATTCAATTTCCCTCTCTGGATCTCCTCATCTGCAAAATGAGAAGATAGAATTCTAAGGTCTCTTTTCCAGATTTAAATCCTCTGATTCTATGAATCTCAGTTAAATCAGCTCAAGCTATTTAAATTTAGGATACCAATTATTGAGGGAGGGGGATATAGAATTCACCAAATCAAACAAAATACTATAGTTCAGAATCAAAATGGACCTTTAAAACTGCCAAGTCCAATCCATGCCTGAAAATGAATCCTCACTATAGCAACATCTAATATATCAATGGTCATCTAGATTTTGCTGGAAAACTCCAGTGAGAGAACCCACTGCCCCTCAAGATAGTCCATTACACTTTTGGACAGTTCTCATTATTATGAAGTTTTATGTGACTTCAAACCTAAATTGGTCTCTTTGTATTCACTGCTCCTTCTAGAGCCAAATGGAGGACAAAGTGGATGCTCTTCCATGGCATTCGTTATGTCTCACCCAACCTAAGTATTTGTTGTCATGTCTCACCAGTCCCACCTCACCTCACCATCATTCCAGGCTACCTCTTCTCTTGGCTAACCACTCCAATCCAATACTTTAATGGCCTGGGCTTAAGACCCTTCGATATCCTGGATCAACTCTTCTGAACATTGACCAACTTAGTATCTTTTTTCTTAACTCTGGTCCCTAGAACTGGGCACAATACTCTAGATGAGGTCTGACCAGAACAGAGTACAGTGGGATCACCATCTTTGCATTAATTTTCTTGGTTGTATTTATCTCTTTGCTGTCAATTCATATGGAGAATTACTGTCTGCTAACCCACACACACTCACACCAATAACTTTTTCAAACAAATTGCTATCCATCCATGTTCCTGTTTTGTACTTACAAAGTAAGTTTCTTGGATCCAAGTGTAATGTTTATTAACATTTATCCCTACTCAGTTTTTATTAGATTCAATCCAATTCATTCCATAGCCAAGTAAGAAAAAGAGTCTTTGTTTTGTTGGATTATCTGGGCTAGATCAATGAGCCAAGATGGTGGATTAGGAGCAGCCACTCAGCTGAACTCTCCCAACATTACTCTCCAAACAACTTTAAAAAAATGCCTCAAGTTAAATTTTGGGGCAGCAAAGACAACAAAGAAAAGGTCAGGGTAAGATAGTTTTCTGGCCTAAGAAAAATGAAGAGGTTAGCAGGAGAAGTCTGCGGCACCCCAAGGCTAAGGCTTGTCCCAAGCCCATACAATCAACAACAATGGAGGCAGTAGCATCAGCAGAAGAAGCTTTGGGGGGTCTCAGCCCACAGACAGTAAGTAGGTCAGGCAACTGCTCAGAAAGAGATTACAGGGGACCTTATGCTGGCCCTGGTATGGCTGGCACTGATTGGCAACTCTATTGCCAGTTCCAGGGTAGAGAGCAGTACCTGTGGTCAATCACAAGAGAAAAGGGCCCAGGTCACAGCACCAAAGCAAAGGGGAATGCTAGCATGTGTAGCTGCAGAGGATCAGGGGCTCTTCCTTGGCAAAAAATCGGAGCACAGACTAGGAGAGAAGTGACCACACCTCTCCCAGGATCACACAACCTTGGAAGGACCAAAAACTTGCAGGCCCCCAACTAGCTCTGGAAACGGCAGCACAAAAAATCCTGAATCTTGGGACAGTGCCTCCCACCCTCAGGTGAGCAGAGCCCAACTTTAACATAAAGTTCAAAGTCAAAAAATAGGCTGAAAAATGAGCAAACAACAATTTGGCCATAAAAAGCTACTATGGTTGCAGGGAAGACCAAGACATAAAACCCAGAAGAAGACAACAATGTGAAAACAGCTACCAAAACAAAGCCTCAAAGAATAATGCTAAGTGGATCCAAACCAAACAAGAATTGCTGGAAGAGTTAAGGAAAGAGATGAGTGGTAGAGGAAAACTGGAAAAACAAATGAGAGTAATGCAAGAAAATTATGAAAAGAGAATTAACAGCTTGATAAAAGAGACACAAAAAATGTTAGAGAAAATAACACCTAAAAAAAAAATTGGCCAGATGGTAAAACAGGCACAAAAATCCATTGAAGAGAAGAATTCCTTAAAATTTAAGAATTATTGGACTATCCGAAAACCATGATCAAAAAGAGCTTAGACATCATCTTTCAAGAAATTATCAAGGAAAACTGCCCTGATATTCTAGAACAATAGAACAAAATAGAAATTGAAAGAATCCACCAATCACCTCCTGAAAGAGATTCCCAAAGGAAAACTCCTAGGAATATTATAACCAAATTCTAGAATCCCCAGTTCAAGGAGAAAATATTGCAGGCAGCCAGAAAGAAACAATTCAAGTATTGTGGAAACACAATCAGGAAAATACAGAATTTAGCAGTTTCTACATTAAAGGTTTGGAATACGATATTCCAGAGGTCACAGGAGCTAGGATTAAAACC